TTATGGCATCTGCGGGTAAATGGATGGAAGTAGAAAATATCATGCTAAATGAAATAAGCCAATCCCCCCAAAACAAAGGCTAAATGTTTTCTCTAATAAGTGGATGTTGATCCATAGTGAGGGGGTGGGTAGGGAAGAATGAAGGAACTTTGGAATGTGCAGAGGGGAGGACTGGGGTGGTGGAGATGGGAAGGATGATAGAATGAAAGAGACATTACCCTGTGTGTGTGTGTGTATGAAAACTAAGATTTTTAGATTAATTTTTAGGTTGTTACTTCAGCTAGAGTTAAATTACACTCACAAACTTCTTATGTGTCCTAAGATCTTCCACATAATATATATAATTACCAGTTCTCTATCAATAGACTCACAGATTGTTTCTAATTTCCCCCCTTTATAATAATGCTACAATAAATATCTTAATGAAGTAGATTTTTAGTCATATTACACTTTTGTGAGTGCGTGTATGTTACTGGAGATGAAACCCATGGCCTTACATATGGTAGGCAAGTTCTCTACCATTGAGCCATACTTCAGAAATAAAAAAACATTAATTTTGAGATGAGGTCTACTAAGTTACTCAGGTTAGCCTTGAACTTGTAATTTTCCTGTCTCAGGCTCCCAAGTAGCTGGGATTACAGATATGTACCACTACCAATACTGGCACAGACACATGAAACCTTTAAGAGATATTGTTTGAAACATTGATGGCATTTAGGAACCAGCTCTACCTCAGTCAGGTATTTCCTGCCTTCTGCTCAATTCAGCTGAAGCTCATCAAGCTGGCATGTTGTCAGCTTGGGAGACTCTGAAGCTCCTCTCTTGTTCCAAGTCTAGCAATGATAAGATTCCTTGTATTGACTGATTCCCCACTACCCACCTAAAATAATCTATATACCTACTTATCTTATAGGACCTGAGTGCCTTGGACATTCATTTCTGAATTTATCAAGATGTCAGTTTCTTGTAGGCTTCAGATTCTAAGTTATACTCTTTAATCAACACTATGACAATGTGTGCCTTTACATGGCACTGTTCCAGACATTAAGCAGAGTACACTATGCAAGGTTATTGTCCCTTCTCATAACAAGGGATGACATCACACTACAGTTGGCATATGATAAAGGGTTTGATGGTAGGGAACAGATTTTAAGAGTCTACTGTTAGTGCAGATACTGATAGGGAACTGAGAAAGTCAGTTCATCCCAGCAACATAAAATTGTGCTTTTCTTAGTTTCTCACATTTCTATATTAATGTTCAGACTTCAGTTTCTTTCATAAAGGGTCTATAAAGCCAGGCATATAGTAAAACATGTCTGTAATGTAAACATGTCTGTAATTTAGGAGGCTGAGGCAGGACGACTCCAAGTTCAAGGCCAGCCTGGGCAGCTTAGTGACTGTTTCAAAAAAAGAAAAAAGAAAAACAGGGATGGGGATAAGGTATAGTGATTTATGTGTGAGGTCCTGGGTTTAATCTCCAGTCACACACACACACACACACACACACACACACACACACACAAAACACCTATAAAACTTGAATTATTATAGCTCTATAATTACTAGTGATTACTAAGGATGTCCCTAGTCTTTCCTTCTCTATCCTGAAGGTGTAAAAGCAAAATACAAGGCTGATAAGTTGCTTAGGGATGACAGTAAGAAGGCAAAGCATGAATACACTTTCACTCTTGGTTTCTCAATCCAGAGTGATTTTCATGTTTTAGGTTTACACAAAATGGTAGATGCTGGCTACACCCTGCTCATAGTCTTTGGGCCTGCAGCAAAGGTTGCTTTCAGTGTCCTAATACATGAGAAAGAGCACCTATGATTGTCTGTAGCTTTTTCTGGTCTTAGAAATGTGTTCTTCAAAGTACTGAGCTTCTTTTTTGGTGGTACTGGGGATTAACCCAGGGCCTACTTGCATGCTAGGCAAGCACTACCATTGAGCTACATCTCCAGGCCAAGTGTTAACTTATTAAAGAAGAAAAGGAGTTTGTGGTTTAACAACTCACCTTCTTTGTCAAGTGGAACCATTCTAAGATGTTTTAGTTCTTAGGTGTCTCCTGACATGACTGAGCCGTACAGTAACCCCTTGTTAATGTACCCTTTAACAGCCGTCCTTCCCTTCCTGTCTCACTGCTCCATTCCTACAGAGCACCTCCTGGGGTAACCTCCTGGACAAACTATTTGCACCTAAATCCTGGTCAGTCTCAGAGCCTGATTTTAGGGGAAACTGAATCTAAGTCAGGAACTCTTTTGACAATGAGGGGAAAAACAAGGTCCTTCTCACCAGGAAAATTTGTCATACATTCAAGAATCCTGGGTAAGATCTGAGGAAATTGTGATATAAGGCACAGGGTTCCAGAATTACCCTACTTTCTTCTCTTTCTCTCTTTCCTAAAATAATTACTGAGGGAGCCATATGCAAAAACCAGCAACACAACTGTTTTTTTTTTTGGGGGGGGTGGGGAGTAATCAGGGAATGAACTCAGGGGCACTCAACCACTGAATCACATCCCCACCCCTATTTTGTATTTTATTTAGAGGCAGGGTCTTAGTTGCTTGGCGCCTCACTGTTGCTGAGGCTGGCTTTCAACGTGTGATCCTCCTGTCTCAGTCTCCTGAGCTGCTGGGATTACAGCACACCTGGCCCAGCAACACAACTGGAATACCAAGTATTATTAATAGCTTCAAATGTGGCTAAATCCCCCTGAATCCTGTTTTTTAAAAACACTCTTAACTGAGTGCGGTGGCACATGCCTATAACCCCAGAGGCTCAGGAGGCTGAGACAGGAGAACTGAAAATTCAAAGTCAGGCTTAGCAATTTATGGAGGCCCCAAGCAACTTAGTGATAACTTAGCAAGAGACCCTGTCTCACAATGAAAAGGACTGGGGATGTGGCTCAGTGGCTCTTGGGTTCAACCTCTGGTCCAAAACCACCACCACCACCCACTCTTTGCCTGGCTGGTTTCCTAATTATTCTCTATCACAGTATAACTACCTTTTCCTGCATGATAATTTGTAACTTAAAATTACTTATCTATTTGTTGTTTACTCCTCTCTAAGAAAACCATATTCTCTACAAAAAGAGGAACTAAGGCTGCTTTGGTCACCACTGTATTCCGTTTATGACAGCATTCTCACATGGGAAGATACTCCACAGGCTGAGAAAGGGGTTGAGGTTTGGACTTCTGGCCTAGAACAGTCACCAGGTCTTTGTTCATTAAAAATCATAGTAACCTCTATCAAGCCACAGAGAAAATAAAATGACCAGATCTGCAGAGGAGGTTCTAGTTTGAATAATGCATCAACCCATGTGTGTTCAGGAGGTAGAGGTCATATAGTGACTGCCCAACAACGTGGGCCAAATAACATCTTTAATTTTCACCATTGGATTAGTAAGTAGTTCCTTTTCTCGGGGGAAGGGGAAGAGAGGAAGGAAGGTTTTTCAAATCTTTCCCTGAAGTCTTTACTATTATTCATACGATATCATGGATGTGAAAAAAAAAAAATTCTGGTCTGTTCATGGTCCACATAGCCTAACAATCCCAAGTTAATCTTTGGTTTGTGGGTCTTTCTATTGGCACAAACCTTGAGATTTCTAACTTTTACCATCAGATGTAGCTCCTCTTCTCCCCGCAAAAAAGAAAAAAGGTAGCACCGGCAGTAACAAAGGTGTCAGTATTAATGGCTGAAACCGATTTCTGTAGTAAGGGCTGTGCCATGCCTTCTGGAAGTCTGGCACCTTTGCTATGATTGCAATGGTCTCTCAATTTCCATCTGTTGAAATCATGTTAGCTTTGCACGGTCAGGCTCAAACTCTATTGCGTCCATGAAACGTTCTCCAATCCCATCAACCAGGAGGAGACTTGCTACCCTTCACGGGCCAGTGGACTTCCTACAGGAGGGCTCAGCACCGGGTTTCCAATGCGTGGCTCGGTGAAGGTCTCTTCCTTTGGTGATTGTGTTTGGACTGAGGTGTTCAGTTAAGAAGTTTCGCACCAAGTCCTATCAGCCGAGGCTTGTTTTCTTTTTGGCCATGCTACCAAAGCGTTGTTCAGTGGCCCCATCTAGTAAACCTGAGAAAAGTGAGGTTCAGTAAGGGTGCACAAAATTCAAGGCCTTTGAAATGACCCCAAGCTGCGTGAGCCGGCTCTTACTTTAACAGCCCCAGCCGCGTCACGGGGAAAAAATAGATGATCTCGAGGACTGCAAGGAAGGTGCTCGTTTGAGCTCCAGTCCTAAAGCTGAGAACCCACAGAACTCGTTTCTCTCCAAGAAGACGCTGGAGGGCGCGCCGCGTCGGACGCTGCAGAGAACTTCCGCCTTGAAAAAAAAAATGTCGTCACGGGGCAAACTTCCGGTTCCACTCTGGCTGGCAGCTCGAGGCCTTTAATCCTAGTTGGCAGTTATCCACACTCAAAAGCGACCCCACCCAGCCGCTCCCTTGGGTTTCTCCACACCCTCAGGAGCAATTTGCACGTCTCCAGGGTGTGACGGTTACGTCGTGACGTCACTGCAGATAAAGGGGTTAGGAGAGCAAAGTACAGAAGATCTTGAAGGACTGGAATCCTACCGCCGAGACACTAGCTGAGAGCCTGGTGGCGGGACTAAAGTTGTGATTGGCATCCACACACACCCGTTGCTGTTTTCATTCCTTCTCAAACCAACCAATGAATGCGACGACGGAGACGGCAACGTGCCCAGGCCTCTAGAAGTGGCTCCTCCCTCCTTACTTGGCTTCTCTGGTCGCCATGCTTAGTGTGGCTACCCACTACCTCTGTAGTATTTTTGTCTCTTCTTTGGATTTTCGATGCCCTTGAAGAACTCCTTCCTTCACATTTCTTTCCTTTCACCCTCAACTTACAACTTCTTGGAGTTTTTACTTGCTTGCTAAGTAACCAGCCACACTTGAGATGGCCGCTGGAGGCGGGGCCGAGGCGGGGCGTGACCGGCGCGGTGACGTCAGCGCGCTGCGTGTCGGCAGGTGGAGGGAGAAGGGAAAGTTTGGCCCGTGCGTGGGGCTCGGGTGGAGGGCGGGACAGAGGGGTTGGGCCCAAGAGAACCTTCTGTTGCGGCTGCTGCGGAGGCCGAGGCTGGGACGTGGACCCGGACGAAGAGTGCTGGACGCGGAGGACCAGGAGGCGAGATACGTTGCAGCTGTGAACCCTGGTCGCTTTGCCGTGCTGTGACCTCGCACCCAGGCGCTGTCCGACCGGCGGCTGTTCCCTAGGCAGTTGGTGGGGGCGCGGCGGCGGCGGTTGGGGGTGGGGAGCCGCGCGGCGAGGAGACGAGAGAGGTCAGCGAGTTTGAGGGAGGACCGAGAGCCGCTGCCGCCGTCATGACTGAGGACTCGAGCGCCCTGCCCTGGTCCATCAACAGGGACGATTATGAGCTGCAGGAGGTGATCGGTGAGAGCAGGCGCCGCTGAGGGGGGAGGCGTCACGCTGGGCGGCGGGTGACACGCGGGAACGTGGGGAGCTGCGGAAACTCGAGGATTGCAGCATTCACGGGAATTGGAGGGGCGCTCGTGGGGCCAGAGGTTTGTTAGGCGCGTGTATGAAGCACGGGGTTGGTGGAGCGCGTGTGAGGCGGGGTGGGGTGGGGCTTGAGGGGCTCGTGGAAGATTTGTGTACATTTGACAGATGCTTGCACGCGAGCGACAGATTGTCTTGAAGAGCAAGAGAAGTGCTGGTGTGGGAGAGGCCTTTTGGGGGTCGTGTGAGAAGTGGGATATTGGAGTTGCGGGCTGAGCCCCCTATTTCTGGGATTGTAAGGTAGATTCATTCCTGCATCCGTTCGAGAACCCCGCCAGGAAGTGCCAGACGTTGCTGGGGAAGCTGCAGGTACTGCGCTGAGGAATGTAGACCCAACTTCTGTTTCCTTCCAACGGACTTGCTGGTCAGGGAGGTAGACATTAAGTAAGTAGTCAAAAAAAAAAAAAAAAAAAGAATTAAAAAGAACAGATTTTGGCAGGTGATGGGAAGGTGGGAAGGAAATAAGATGTTCAAATAGAGAATAACCTGGAGACCAAGTTAGGGTGATTTCAGGGAAAATTCTTTTTCTGAAGCAGTGATATTTAAATTGAGCTCTGAAGGATGAGAAGTGAGTCTTTAAGAGCCTAGGGAAGACTTGTTTTTTCCCCTTAACTGAAGGATGAAGAAATGCAAAGGCCCTGGAGAGGGAAAGAACTTGATATGTTTTAGGACCCGAAGGAAGGCTGGCATAGGTAGAGATAAGGGGGAGCCAGATCTTAGGGACCTGTTCAGCCATGTAAGGATTTTGAAATTTTATTTTTAAGTGTCATTGGAGGTCTTCAACCAGGGATATGACACGATCTGATAGATCTGACTGCTGTGCTAGAGTGAATTTGAAGGGGGTCCAGGAATACTAGTTGGCAGAGACCAAAACTTTCACAAAGGTGGATTGTAATTTTCAGAGAGGCTTAGTGATAAGGGGGAGGTTGGGGACTGTGGATGAGGGTACTGTTTGTTGGACAACAATAACTCAAGTGACCTTAGAAATCAAAAGGGGGTGGGTTTAGCTAAACAGAGGCTCAATCCAGCTGACATGAGCAGACCCCTGTGTATTGGAGGAAGAATTGTCTACTTTGCCAGCATGCTGTGCTAAAATTAGTTTTATAACAAAGACTAACTGAAGACTCTTGAGCTGTCTTGCCTGGCTGTCAATGTTATCAGCATTGTGTCTGTGTTTTAAAGAAATGTCAACTTTTTTTTTTCCCCCCACTTTTCTTGCCTCTTGGTTGTTTTGTTTGTTTGTTTTGGTACTGGGGATTGAACCCAGGGGCACTTAAACACTGAGCCACACCGCTAGCCCTTTTTATTTTTTATTTTGAGACAGACAGGGCCTTACTAAGTTGCCGCGGCTGGCTTTGAATTTGCAATCCTTCTGCCTCAGCCTCCTGAGCTGCTGGGATTACAGGCATGTGCCACTATGCATGGCTTTGTTTCTGGTTTTAAAACAGCCTAAGCTAAGTTTTATCTAAAAGATACCATATCTTTTACTTTAAGTCACTTCTTGGGTCTATGTCCTTGCTACATGTTGGGTCTTTGACATGTATTGATTGAGCTAGTTAGATCTTTTTGGGGAGGGGTGCTGGGGATTGAACTTTGGGAGTCTTTAACATTAAGTTACATCCTTAGCCTTTAAAATTTTTTTTTTTTTTTTTAAATTTTGACACAGGGTCTCCACTAAGTTGCCAGGCTGTCCCCAGATTTGCTATCCTCTTGCTCAGCCTTCTGAGTAGCTGGGATTACAGGCCTGTGCCACCCACCCAGCGAGATCTCTGTTTTTGATTGATTACTTCTGGGTCCCTTAATTAGGGTTTCATATTGAACTAAGGGATTAAATGGGAGATTCCAAAATGATAACAGAAAAATAAAGAAAGGCCTCTCTACAGTTATTTTAGAAGAGGAGTTTTGCTTTATTTTCTGGTAGGGATACTTCTTTCTAAGGTGGAAAGGGTGGCTGTAGTCATTCTTAGTATGTTTGTTGTTGAGATGACATGGAATTTCAGATTTGCAAAGGCTCTAGAGAGTTAGTGATATTATTAATTTGGTGTCCTCAGAACCATAAATTGTCTGTAAGTGGGCAATAGAGAGTGACATCCAGTCCTTCAGGATAGGGTTACTTCTTTTCCCATTAACCACAGAGTAGTCCAAGGCTCATCAAAGGTTAAGAACTCTACTGTGATTTGATTAGGTTATTTTTTTTTTTTTTGAGAGAGAATTTTAATATTTATTTTTTTTTAGTTATCGGCAGACACAACATCTTTGTTTGCATGTGGTGCTGAGGATCGAACCCGGGCTGCACGCATGCCAGGCGAGCGCGCTACCGCTTGAGCCACGTCCCCAGCCCCTGATTAGGTTATTTTTTAAAACAACTTTACAGAGTTATTTTTTAAAACAACTTTTACATTTAATACTATAAAATGTTCTTATTTTATTTATAAAATGTAACAGTGTTTTAGTAAGTTTGCTGTATAATTGTTGCCATCACCCCATTTTAGGATATTTCTATCAGCCCAATGAGATTCCCTTGTGCCTTTTCATAGTTAATCTCTCTTCCCTTCCCCAGTCTCAGGTAACCACAAATCTATTTTTTTCCTCTATAGATTGTGTTTTTTGAACTTTTCACATAAATGGAATCCATATAACATGATTTTTTAAAAGTCTACCTGATTAAAGGTGAATTTACAGAGTTGGTCAGTCATCACCAAAGGCCAGTTTTAAAATATTTCCGTCATGCCAAAGAGATGTCTCATGTCCATTTGTAGTAACTCCCTATACCCACCCTTAGCCCCAGGCAACCACAAATCTACTTTCTGTCTTTATAGATTTGCTCTGGATGTTTCATATAAATGCAATCATATAATATGTAGTCTTTTGTATTTGTATTTTTTTGCATAATGTTTTTTGAGGTTCATCATAGTGGTGTAGCATGTTGCAGTACATGGTTCCTTTTTATTGGACATCGGTTCATGGACATTGGATTGTTTCTGCTTTTGGCTATTTGGAATAAGGCTGCTATCAGAATTCACATTAAATCTTCATGTGAACATGTTTCATTTTCCTTGAGTATATCCCAGGAGTGGAATGGCTCGGTCATATGATAAATTTGGTAATTTTTTTAAGATACTGCCAATCTTTTTTCAAAGTAGTTATACCATTTCACATTCTTCTAACTAATGTATGAGAATTCCCATTTGTCAACATTCTGGTCAGCTTTGTTGTCTGTGTGCTATCTTGTATACATTTATGTGGTACTGGGGATTCAACCTGGGACTTCACATGTATTCTACCACTGAGCTATATCCCTAGCCCTGTCTTTTTTAAAATATTTTTTTAGTTGTCAATGGGCCTTTATTTTCTTCACTGATACATGGTGCTAAGAATCAAACCCAGTGCCTCACACCTGCTAGGCAAGCGCTCTGCCCCTGAGCTCCAACCCCAGCCCTGTCCTGTCTTTTGGATTATGGCCATCCTGGTGGGTATGAAGTGGTATTTTACTGTAGTTTTGATTTTTATTTCTCTAATGGCTGATAACAGTATCTTTTGCCTATCTGGATTATCCATTGCTATGTTTTGTTTTCTTACTGATTTATAGGAGAGGGAAAGAGAGTGGTATATGTGTATTCATTCTTCATATAAGTCTTTCATCTGGTGTATGATTTCAGTACAGGTATTTTTATTTGTCTTCCTTTTTGTGTGTGTGTGTGTGTGTGGTGCTGGGAATTGAACACAGGGTCTCACACATAGTAGGCAAGTGCTGTCCCACTGAGCCAACTCAGCCTTGTCTTTCTTTTTTTTTTTTTTAATATATACATTTTTTTTTTAGTTGTCAATGGATTATTTATTTATTTATTTATTTATTTATTTATATGTGGTGCTGAGAATTGAACCCAGGGCCTCACACATGCCAGACAAGCATTTTACTACTGAGCACTACTGCAGCCCCCTTAGTGGTGTTCTTTTTTTTTTTAATTTTTAATATTTATTATTTTAGTTTTTGGCAGACACAACATCTTTTGTTTGTATGTGGTGCTGAGGATCGAACCCGGACCGCACGCATGCCAGGCGAACGCGCTACCGCTTGAGCCACATCCCCAGCCCTAGTGGTGTTCTTTTAAAATACAGAAGTTTTGATGAAGTTTGATTTGTCACTTTTTTATTTTATTTATTTTATTTTTGGACAGTATTGGGGATTGAACCTAGGGATTTGTACCCTCTAAGCAAAGGCTCTACCACTGAGCTACAATTCCTAGTCCATAAACACAGTATTTCATAATTAACTATAATCTTCAAGTGAATCTTTTTTTAAAAAATATTTGTTTTTTAGTTGTAGTTGGACACAATATCTTGATTTCACTTATTTATTTTTATGTGGTGCTGAAGATCGAACCCAGGTTCTCACATGTTCGAGGCAAGCACTCTACTGCTGAGCCACAACCCCAGCCCTTCAAGTGAATCTTCACAATTCCTTTATATTTCATCATTTTTTTTTTTTCAGGAGACAAATGATTGGAATCTAGAAAAAAAAGATTTGAGAAATCATTTAGATTTAATTTTCAAAGGATTATGTTCCAGGGAAATTAGTGTAATTATTTCAAAACCTGTATATTTATTTGGCCTGTAATATTTTTCACATGTGCTACTTAGCACTGTGATATTTAATTATTCTCTCATTCTGTTTTTTTTTCACCTGTAGGATTTTACCAATATTTTTAGTTGCTTATCCAACATAAATTTCTTCTTCTTTAATAAGAGAACCCCAATCTCTTTTGTTTTAAGTAAAAACATATTACTCAGCTAGAAAGCTTCATTTACCAACTTCCCTTGTCCCCCCCCCCCAAAAAAAATATGGAAAAATCCTACAGGCGAAAAAAAAAAAA